TCTGTAATCCAAAATATGTTTTTGTTGAAATCAAACATACCATGGTTTTCACCTAGATTCTGGTATCACAATGTCTAATGAAATTATGCTCTGGGTATGTGACTCTTAGTGTTAATTGTAGGGGTTTTTAAAATCTGTAAGAATATCATTCATCCTGGTCTTTCAGTTTTTCTTTAACTTTGTTGCCTACCCCCTGCTGTATTCATGGATAGTGATCGCATCCTTTCTCAGCCTGTGTTTGATTTTTTTTTTTCATCAGTTGGGTTCTCCAGTCTCCTGGTCAGTCTCACAGCCCTTCTTTGGATCTCACCCAATTTGAACCCATGCATAGGGTACAAGGAGCCTAGGAAAAGGACTCTGTCTTCCTGCGCAGAGTTGGGGAAGGAAGCCTGTGTCTACTTTAATCCCAGATATTGATGCTGATAAGATGGATACATAGGGCTTGTGAAGATTGGCTCCAGAGCTCAGTGTACAGTCACAGATCATTGAGCACTCAAGGTGTGAGACTGCTGTGACTGGTGAGGTTTATCTAATGGTTTCCTAGTGTCCAAGGAAGTGGCATTGATTTCTTAATCGGGAAGAGCTTAACTGAGAACTGAGGCCCCATGTGTGCTCTCCTGGCACAGGGTACCATGTGGTTGTGGCATCTGAGATGATGGGCATGGCCACCTTTAACCAGTCTAGGCGGGGGAGGAGTCTTTAGCAACAGTGACTTTGTGTTTGCTCACTGGAAGGTGGCTGTAAAAGTCCCTCTGGGTTTTCTTCCCTGCTCCCATATCAGCTAACCACTGGAGATTTTTTTTTCCCGAAATAGCCAGGAGCCAACAAAAACTAAGTAGAATAAAAATGCCCCTGTGCAAACTTTGACTTTCTTACTAAATTTGTACAGTACAAAGGACTTGGACACTGCTGGTGTTCCACCTTGCAGCCACAGGCAGTAAGAAGGACCAAAGTAACTGAGGCCTCTCTGCCTTTTATAGCTCTAGTTACAGGGTGTCCAGGTACTGTGGTGGCTACAACTCAAAAAGCATCTGACCTCATGAGCACAGCATTGAAGGTTTGCCAAGAGCGATGTTACTGCCCACAGTTGCCCAAAGAAGAGAAGCTACTGAAATCTGTTTGGGCTGTCAGTTTTTCCCAGAAGGAACCAGAGGACAGGTGCCTAGTGCCATCTGAAAAACCAAGCTTCTCCAAAAGGTCTGTTGATTGATCAAGGTACCCAAATCACCAGGCCATTTCAGATCTTCGTCTGGAGGAGAATAAATAGCATCATGAACAAGAAGTGGCAGGATTTCATTAAGAATAGATTTGGCCAAAGGATTGGATCTCATTTGCTTTTAGCACATTAGCAGATGCGGGGAAAGAACCATGATAGTTAGGAGGTGGTCTTTCCGATAACACTTTGAGAGCTAGCATTTTTAAAACTCATTTGTATTGACTTGAGTGGAACAGTGTCAGTCAATGGTGCTTGGAGAGCCAACAAAACCAATGATGAAAGGAAAGCAATTCGAAATCCTAGATTATCTTCTGTGATAATCTGGAAGAGAAGAGACAGTATGTTAATGATGGTCACAGCTGTGGTTGAGTTGAGGGAATATGCAAACACTGATAAAGATAGACAGATCTTGCAAAAGGACATGGCCAGCAAGCATAATATTAAACTTTGGCAAAAGGCCATTACCTACATTTTTTCCTAGATGGATCCAAAATGTACTCTACTTGGCTGGGGAAAAAGCTGAGAAGTAGTTAATTCAGAGAGACCTGGGGCTGTTACTGAGAAAAACAGTAAACCTTTGTTTGCAACAGCACATAGCATCTGAAAAAGCCATATGACACGGGGCTGTGTACACAAACACAGCACAGGACAAGGATGTGATAGTTTGTCAACAGCAAGGGTGTCAAACGTATGGCCTGCAGGCTAGATCTGGCTTGTGGCTTAGTCTGACCTTCCAGGCTACCAGTGGGCCACCAGAAGTTGCAGGGGGTGGGGGAGTACGGCCTGCCACAGAATCTGGGGCCCTTGTGCCCTGGTGGACATAGTTATTGGTAGCAGGAGGGCAAGTGTGGGCTGACACAGCCCTGGTTGCCATCCAGTCACTTCATCCATTGCTACTGCTGTGGCCTCAGCTCCTCAGCTGCTGGTCCTGTCACCATCCTGTGCTGGGGCTGGGGCCACTGCCACTGCCAGTGCCTGCCCTGTGCCCTATGCTTGAGCTAGAGCTGCTGCCACAGCACAACGCATGTGGAGGCAGTGGCAGCTCCAGCTCCAGCATGGGAAACATGGCAGGACCTGGAGCTGTGCCATGTGCCCCATGCTGGAGCCGCTATGTCCTGCTGGTCAGAACCGGAGGTGATACTGCCACCTGCCCTGGGATGGATCTGGCCCGAAAGGAGCCCCACAGTCTAGATCCAGCCTGGGGTACAAGGTGAGTTTGATGCCCTTGCTTTCCAGATATGCCATGACTGTCTCTCAAATACTGTATCCAGACCTGGGCATTTCTTTCCCAGAAATATATGTTTGATATTTTCATTAATGACTTGGAAGCTGGACTAGAGAGTACACCTTTTACATTTTCAGATAATAGTCCACCCAGAGGGATGGTAAGCACTTCGGAGGATGAGGCTGGGATTTAAAACAATGTTGATGAACTGAAGAAATGATCTGAAATAAATAGGATGTGGTTTGGTAAGGATGAGGGCAAAGCACTAGATATAAGTAGGAACAGTCAGCCATACAGACTAAGGACCGCCTGGGGGGGATGGAGTTCTGTAGAAATGGATCTGGCAGTTCTAGCAGATCATCATCTGCACATCAGGCAACATTTCAGACTGTTGTTGAAAAAAAAAAAACCCTTCATCACAACTGGGATGGGGAAGAAGGACTGTTATCTGTGAAACAGGCAGAGTATTCCCTCTGGTCTTGTCAGCACTGGGGGCATCTCAATTGGAGTATTGTGCCCAGTTTCGGGCACCTTGCTCAAGAAGTATGTGGACCAGTTGGCAAGAGTCCAGAGGAGAGCAACAAAATGATTAAAGGTTTAGAAAAAAATGGTGCATGAGGAAAGCTTAGAAGCATTGGCTTTGGCTAGTCTACAGAAAAGAAGACTGATGCACTAGGTACAATAACAGCCTTTAGATACAGTCTAAAAAGTTTATGGGCTATTCTCTAAGCCCAATGGGGATAAGACAAGAAGTAATGGGCTTAAATTGCAACCAGGAAGATTTAGATTAGGCATTAAGAGAAACAGTTTAACTGAGACTAGGTACTGGAATGGATTACCTAGAGTGGCTGTGGGATTTCCATCATTGGAAGTGTTTAGAAGCAAGTTAGACAAAAACATCTTCCTCTCCTCTCAGGGCAGGGGGTTGGACTAACTGATCTCTTCAAGGTCTGTTCCAGCCTTATTTTGTGTGATTAGTGGCCTGGCAACACCAGAGAAGCTGCATGTACATGTGTGTGGTTTAATAAATAGATTCAGTGGGTCTTTAACACCTTTGCAGCATTTTCTTATCTCCTGCAACCAACAGTTTTCCTAGTGAGTGGCAGATTATTATTGGTGTTGTATATTATATACAACCTCAGTTTTATAGTATATACAGCCTCAGTCAGGAATTGGAGCCATGTGCATGTGTGTACACACAAACCTGTGGCATTGGGACTATTTGGAGACTTGGAGACCAAGCCTCCAAGCCAGAGGAGGAGGAGACTTGAAGACTTGGTGTTTCTCCACCTTTTCACTAATGTACAGTAACAGCAGCTTCACTTCCTGGAAGTCCGTCAAGTCTGCTGAAAACCCCCAGGGGACCCCAGATCCTGGGAGCTGAGATGCTTTCTGCATTTCGGGGCTGCAGATGGATCAGGATATGACTGTCTCGGCAGATAAGGAAGCTGTGAATCTGAAGAAAATCTGTGACTCTTGATGCACTCTGCCACTCCAAGGAGAGAGGGCCCAGGGTGCTGGGGATGCTGGTCTGTAGGGGCAAATGGGCACAATAGTCTTATGTAGAAGTCCCACAAAGCAGCATTACATAGTAAGGAAATGTGCTTGGGAAGATGGCTGCTGAGCTGTCCTAACCAGGCAGCCCGTGTGCTGGGTCACCTTTCTGTGCATGTCCGGCAGCCCAGTCAGGATCGTTCTGAAAACGGCCCTGCCAGTATGGTGGTGTCAGTGTGGTCTCAGTGCACTGGAGCTCTGAAGAGTTCCCCCTTATGACATGGGGGCTGGTGATAAAACAGGAGGGCTGGGAAGTGTGTAGACAGCCCCTTTGTAGCATAGAATGAGGAATCCCCGAGGGAAATATTTGAACAGCACAAAGGAGTGTGACTGAATGTGTGCAACCCTTACACTCTTCCCCTCTCAGGTGCAGCCATACAGTTCTTGGAGCGGGTTGGAGCTGAGCTTGGCCTGGCATGTCAGAAAGCAGAGGTAAGAGACGTGAAATTGGTCCTCTCAGCAAAGTTCATTTTTGGTCCGTCTTAGCCTAGACCCAGCACACAGAGTTTGTGCTGGCCCAGCCTGCATCCTCTGTGGGGGATGACTGGATGAATTTCAATCCAGCTCCAGTAACAATGCTCTCAGTTGCTCTGAGGGGTCCAAGCATGGCAGAAACATGTCCTTGCTGAGATGTTCCCCTTCACCTTGTATTTGCAGTAATGAGCCAATCTGCTGTATACACTTTGGCTTCTGTTACTGATAACCTGGAAGTCTTAGGTTTCCCCTTCACATGAGGAGAACCTGGCCCCTGACTCCCTTGTGCATGTATTTGTGTTCAGATCCCTCCTTCCCAAAGGGTGGGGGGCTAAGGCAGCTCTAGCTGAACAGTGTCATGGTATCTCTGGGGGACAAAGTGTTAGTAAACCAGGATTTGCTTGGTGGATGCCTAAAAACCAAGCAGGTCTCAGCCTAGTTCTTCGTGAGTCAATATCAGAATCCCCACCGCCCCAGGCAATGTGCACTGCGTGGGGCAGGTTGACCCAGAAGCCGAGGACTATGGCTCCCTTGCATCCCAAGAGAGGTCTCACGGGACCTGTTGGGAGCAATGTGGGGTCAGCACACTGCTTGTGCTATGCTCATTGTTTAGGTGACCAAAGGGCTCCAGCACTGCCAGTACAGCACCTTTCGGTAGCGGTAAATCCATATCGGTCATCTCAGATGGCCTGAGCTCATGCTGGACCTGCCTTCAAGGATGGGAGAGTCCATGTGGCTATTCTTGTCCTCTGGTGTGGAGCAAAGGCCCAGATCTCCACCATGAGCTAAATTTCAGCCTCATGCAGCTGAGTGGTACAGAGAAATCTCAGAAATTCTGGGGGAGATTCTGGCTTCAGTTACCCTGGGGCAAATCCAGGGAAGTGTTGTGGACAGACTCACCTGTCATAGATTTTCTTCAGATTCACAGCTTCCTTATCTGCCAAGACAGTCATATCCTGATCCATCAAATCCAGGGAAGTGGAGTCATTCCACACCACTGCCCCCTCTTCTTTCTCCCCCCTTCCCCCCCCCCCAGTGCAATGGAGCATTTAGGTCTTTACATGCCTCGTCTCCTCCATGTGTCGTTTATGCTCCTTCCCAACAGGCACTGGTTAGCTTGGCTATGAAACATATAATGAGACCCCCCTGTGCCACCAATCCTCTTCCAAAGAATTACTGTGCTGCTCGGCCCCCACCTGGGCCACTTGGGCCTGGGACCTTTCCTGTGTGTAATCTCCTTTGGCTGCAGGGGGAGTTTTGGGCAAGGAGGGGTTGGCTGACCAGCCCCTTGGTCAGTGAGTCTTGGCGATGTGGGGCAGCCTGGTGTTTGTGAGCAGGTAACAACCTGCCCAGCTTCTCCTGGCTGAGATACTGGAAAATGTGGTGGTGCATATGGCTGACTGCCTTCAGTGGACAAATCCCTTGCGGTCTGTAATCCCCTGTGGCTGGAGCCAGCCCATTAATAAGCTATCACAGGTTTGCAGGCTATTTTGAGACCAATCCTTCCTGACCTTTATGGCTTTGCCCGCTGTAATTAGACCAGGAGTTAGTGAGGTCACGCTTCTCCAAAGGGACCTCTGGTAGTGTGACTTCCCCTGCCTCTTGCCCCATCTGGTATGGCCATGGCACAGGGAGCTGGACCAGAGTCCAGGTCTCCTGAGTCTCAGGGCAAGGCCCTGTCCACTAGAATGTCCTTCCTCCCTGCTGGATAGGGAGAGGGGGGCTCTCTCCTCCTTCCAAGTCCTTGCCCTTCCCAGGTGAAGCAGTCCTGCTGCCTTGGATGTGTATGGTCTCTGTGCCTGGCCACTGACAAGGCTAGCCTGTTATGTGGCATTGCCCTTTAGCTGCCCTAACTCAGAAAAGCAGAGTGGCTTCCTCAGCTGTAATGCCTCGCCCTTGCCTTGCAGGTGTGCCCGGGTCGGGTGATCACCATCTTGACCTGGCAGGGCACAAGCCCGCAGCTCTGCTCCATCCTGCTGAACTCCCATATTGATGTTGTACCTGTATTTGAGGTGAGGGGGTGCAATGGGGAGAAGACCTGGGCTTGCAGCTGGTGTTGGGCTGCTACCTGGTGCAGGAGGGCTGTCATTTGCACAGAGAGGAGGTGGGAGTGTCCTGGGCTGGCAGGTGCCCCCTGGTAGGTTGAGGGTGCTAGAGGGCATCACTGAATGGGAGAAAGCCCTGTGCAGGACCTGTGCTGTCTCAGCAGAGGTCCTGCACCTCGGTGCATGCATGCCCTGCTCTGCTAATGCAAACGCACCGCCACCTACAGGAGAATGCAGCGCACTGCACATCTCTGTCCATGTTTCTGTTGCACCTGGCAGGGTCTGCCTGAGTAATGTTCAAGCCAAGACGATTAGCCCTCGGCCTCTCTGCTGAGGTTGAGAAGGGACTGGACCGAAGTCCCCAGTCTGCCTAGGCAGCACAGGCCCCTCATATCTGGAGGGAGGAATGTTGTCAGGAGGGCTAGTGGAGGCTGGCTCTTCAGCTGCCCAGACTGGGGCCATCCTGCCCTTCAGTGTCCAAGGCTGGCATCTTCCACCAGCACTAAGTTTCCCACCCAGGCCTGTGCCATCTACCTTCTTATAGCCAAGGTGCTCTCCTCCCTGTAAACCCTGCCTGCTGCTGCAAACATCCAACTGGGGCCTCTCTGCACCTCCCTCCAAGCAATTCCTGCCCCCCGCCCATCCTGCCCCCTCTCTAGGACAGCCAGGGAGCCAGCTGGCCTAGGGTAACTCCTGCTGTGTGGCTGGTCCTGATGCAAAGCACTTCTGAGACACTTGGCCCTGGTTTCTGCCCTGTAGGAGCACTGGAGCCATGACCCCTTTGAAGCCTTCAAGGACTTGGAAGGCAACATCTATGCCCGCGGGTCCCAGGACATGAAGTGTGTCTCCGTCCAGTGAGTGCTGCTGTAGCTTCTCCTGCCTGTACAAGTGGCTCTGCTGGGCCCCTGGTGTGTGTGGCCTTGGCTGTTCTGAATATTCCTCCCTGTGCTTCCCTCCCCACTCATCTCATGCTCGCAGTAAATTCTGAGCCAGCTTTGAGCCTTGACTTTGCTAGCTCAGCTGGATGGGGAACTCCTGGGAGCACTAGGTTCCTTGCCTTTGGCTGTGCAGCACCAGGTGTTGGTCTCAGTGGGCTGACCCAGTGCAATGAACTGTGTGATGGCATAGACAGGGGAGAATCTGTCAGCAAAGCAGCTGCCTCCTAACGTTCCTGGGTGCCCAATCATATATGATCATCACCAGTTTGCCACTGCCCATCCCTTACCAAGCCCAGGGGAGCTGCAGGGCACTGCTCCCTGTTCTGTTTAGCATCATGAGAGTTGCTGGGCACATCACTGACTGCACTAGGCACTTTGAATCTACAGGTGATTTTAGCATGTAGGAACATAAGGAGTGCATGATGTTGGCTGGGCCCAGGCAGGTACTGTGGGGGCTCTTTCTCCATGCAGCTCTGAAGTACTGCCAGGCTACAGAACAAACTGCTCAAGTTTCTCATAGGAGCTTGTGTGAGCCGGGCACCCTGCTAGAGTCTTTCCCTGTCCAGGTACCTAGAAGCTATCCGGAGGCTGAAGGCTGAGGGGAAGCGCTTTCCCCGAACCATTCACCTGACGTTTGTCCCAGGTAAATAATTGGACACTTACTAGAGTCTGGGGTCTGAAGGTAAGGGCAGGTAGGACTAGAGATGCCTCTCGTCTGTGTGTGTCTGCATTTCTCATGTGTCCCTCACCATGGTGTCTGGGCACCCAGCACACATACTGTCACACTTTATTGATATTTAACTTGAGGAGCATCCTTGCCAGCACAGTCCATTCAGAGAAAGTGAGGGCAAAGAACTGTGAGCATGTTTGTGGACATTAGTGAGGCACACTGAGCTCCCTGTTTGGAAAATGCTGGAGAAACCCAGGCTGTGGGGCCCTGCCATGTCCTTCTCACCCCCATTGTGATGAAGGCTGGCTCCTCAAGCACAGCAGTGTGTGGAGGTGGGACAAGGAGGGGCTGGGCAAGTCACTAACTCTGCTTCTTTGTCTCTGACCACAGATGAAGAGATTGGAGGCCACAAGGGCATGGAGCTGTTTGTGAAAAGCCCTGAATTCAAGGCTCTCAATGTTGGGTTTGCCCTTGATGAAGGTGAGACCATGTGGATACCAATGCCAGAGCAAGCTGTGGGCAGCCCAGCCAGTGGTGGTCTTGGGGACTGTGGGATTTCATCACTGCTTCTCAACCTTGGCCAGAGGGTCCCCAGCCCCATTCCTGTGGAGGGAGCTGGCAGCAGCTGCCCTCATGGGGCTGTGCCCTGCTCTATGCTTCACCACAGCCACTTCTCTTCTGTTTTCCTCCTGCAGGCCTGGCCAACCCCACGGACACCTACACCGTGTTCTATGGGGAGAGGAATCCCTGGTGTAAGTACAGCCCAACTTGTGCCCCCGAGCTGCATCCATGTTCCTGAGGCACCTTTCCAGGGGCACTGGCATGCCAGGCTCACGTGCTCTTGCTCTGATAACCCATCTGTCCTCTGTTGTTGGCCCTCACAGGGATCCAAGTGAAGTGTGAGGGGAACCCAGGTCACGGCTCCCGGTTCATTGAGAACACGGCTGCTGAGAAGATGGTAAGAGGGGGCCCTGTGCCTGGGGCATGGAGAGATCTGTGGGGCCTCCCATGTTGGCTTCACCTATTCTGCCCTCTGAATAGGAAAGGTAGAGGCAGGGGACAGGGACCTGCTGAAGTAGAGGGGCAGTCCTCTCTCCTTGTAGGAGCTACCATAGGTGCCTTAGCTAGCCAGGCTGTACAGCAAGGGTTCTGGCTGAAGTGGATGCTTCTGGTTCCTCCAGTCTCAGCTTCTCTCAGCAGGGGAGTGCAGTAGAGAGTGGGGCAGAACCACAGGCTGTGGGAAAAGCTGCAGCCATTGCAGATCCAGCCGCACCTCGTAGGGACACAAGAGGAACAGGGGCAAGGAACTGGCTATAGGGAGCCAGCTCCAAGCTGGAAGGCTCTTGTTTGGGAACTCTCATCATTTTTAGGGATTCCCAAGTGCAGGGGGGTGATGGTGTCATCCTCAAGGTACAGGAGTCCAGGTGAGCATGACTGGCCCAGTGCCGACTGTTGACCTGCCTCCTTCCTGCCTGCAGCACAGAGTGATCACCTCCTTCCTGGAGTTCAGGAAGAGCGAGGAGCAGAGGTAAGAGGCAGCAGTAAGGTTGTGTTCAAATCCCATGGAGGAGCAGCCTCCCTTCCCTTCATTACTGCTCTGCTTCGTTCTTTCCCAGCCGTCACTTGCAGATCCAAAGGGTGGGCCTGGGGCTAGACTCCTGGGATTGGGACGCGGGACTCCTGGGTTCTATTTTTAGCAATTCCTGTGCCTCCCTTTGCGCTGGGTTGAGTCATTTCCCCTCTCTGATATGGCAAGAGCCTGGGGACCTGCCTGAGGGGTTAATTTGTGGGGGCATGATACCACTTGTGGCATCCCAGAGGCCTGTCTCCACACATCAGGGCATTGGGGTGTTGTGGGGGTGGCAAGTGCCTGGGGCTCTGTGTTGTGGCTGGGGATGGGAGTTTGCTTAGAGGGAATTAAAAGCCCCTCCATGAGCAAACCCCGTAGCCAGCCCTTAGCTCCTTCAGTGTGGGAGCAGTGCCTGTTTCCAAGGAGGAACAGCTGGGGTGTAAGACCCCCACTTCCTGTCTCAAGTTCAGAGCTTGATTCTCCCCCTGTCTCTGCAGACTCAAGCATGACGAGAGCCTCACACTGGGCGATGTCACCTCCGTCAACCTGACCATGCTGAATGGGGGCGTCTCCTTCAACGTGGTCCCCTCAGAAATGTCTGCTGCTTTTGACATCCGCATCGCACCCACAGTCAACTTGGAGGTACGGCTCCCACTCAGCAGGGGAGGGCAGGGCAGGTCCCTCAGCACTAAGTCCCAGTCTATGGGCCATCACCTACCAATACCCACTGAGGGTTGGGACAGGACAGAGGCCCCACGAGGGTGTTCTGCAGAGCCGTGCATTGATTTCTGCAGCCCTTCTGGGGAAGGACAGGGGGAATCCTTGCAAACTAGGTTCTGGAGCATGGGGTGGCAGCCTGGACCCCTGTTCTAGAGAGTCTCCTGCTGTCTGCTTATGCCCTGTTGGCTTGTTCACTGTCCTGCAGGCATTTGAGCAGCAGATTGCAGCCTGGTGCCGGGCAGCTGGAGAAGGTGTCCTCTACGAGTTTCACCAGGTAACTGGAGGCAAGGAGCCAGGATGCTCCCTGCAGCCTGGGGTCATCCCTTGGGTCTGGGCAGCTCCCTCCCTCCAGCCTTCCTGCTCTGCAGTCCCTGCCAACAGGGCTTCTGCTCCATGTTGTGCCGTCAGCCTCAGGCACTCCTGTGCCCTGATGCTCCCTCACCCTTTTTTTCCCTCTCCTTGGTGTAGAAAAACATGGACCAGTGTGTGACCTCCACGGCAGAGTCGGACCCCTGGTGGAAGGCATTCAGTGGGGCCTGCAGGGACATGTGAGCGTGACCCCTGCCCAGCTTGCACTTGCAGAAGTCCTCCCCAGCTCTGCCATATAGGAGTGTTCTTTGGCCTTGAGCTGCATCCCGCCCCCACCCTGTCTGCTGTGTGGGGAGGGAATAGCTGCTCCAGGCATGAGAGCATGTCTCACAGTATATCTCTTGGCAGGAACATGACACTGAAGTGTGAGATCTTCCCAGCGGCCACAGACAGCCGCTACATCCGAGCAGTGAGTACAGGTTCCTGCCCCTCCCCTGTCCACCTATATCCTGATGATCCTGACTGGGTGCTTCTTTCCCCACTTCCCTCCCCTTCTTCTCCTACTCCATCTCCCCCTTCCCAATTCACTTCTTTCTCTCTCTGCCTTGATTTATCTTTGCATCTGCTTTGCAACCTTTGTAAGATTTAGGACAGGGTGTCAGAACTTCTGGGTTCTTTCCTGCCTCTCCCTGGGCAGGAATGAACAAGCTGGTGCCTCAGTTTCTCTGCCTGTAAAATGGGAACCAGTCCACCCTTGGGAGGCATGTTGGGAACCTTTGGTTAAAGGAGTTTTGACAGGAGTCCTTGAGCCTGGGACTAGGGCACTGGCCCAGCATTGCTCATTTTGCAGCATACAACTCTCATGGCTTTTGCTTAGGGGGTGCAGGGGCAGTGCAGAAAGGGGTCCTGGTCCTGCCTAGGCCCGCCCATGTCAACACAGTACAATCCTGTGGCAAGCTGACCTGTTGCTTGGAGAGTCCAGACAGGCACCAGGTCACCCCAGTGCATTCCTATGGTAGGGTGACCTGTTGTCTAGGGAGCTGTGGCTGGGCAGAATGTCAACTCAATGCATTTCTATGGCAGGATGACCAGGGGAGCAACAGGTCACTCCAATGTACTCCAGTGGGGGCTTTTTCCCAGCTGGAAAAAACCTGCCCATGGCTCCTGCTGTTGCAGTGTGATGCAGCTGTGGGTCTCTACAGCAGCCCATGACCTCCCCCTTCTGCCTTGCAGGTGGGGTGCCCAGCCATCGGCTTTTCCCCCATGAACCAGACCCCGGTGCTGCTGCATGACCACAACGAGTACCTGAATGAGCGGGTCTTTCTACGCGGCATCGAGATCTATGCCCACCTCCTCCCTGCCCTGGCCAATGTGCCCCCCCTCCCCACAGAGGGCTGAGGGGGCCTGGGGCAGAGGCTGTAGGGGGGGGGGGGGGGAAGGTCAGCTGGATACCAAAGAGACACAAGGAAGAAACATTCATGATGTCCCCCTGTGGCAGCTCTGGGGATAGCCCTGTGCTCGAGGTGTCTGTCCAGTGGGGCCAGGACTCTAGGGTCCCAGTAGGCAACACCATGTGCAGGGCACTTCTTTGCCAGAATCCCAGCTGTTCCATCCCAGAGAGACGGACTTGGCGGGCAGTGTCCTGCATGGGCTCTGGGTTGCCAGGGGCCTCTGGGGTGCCTGGTGCCAGCAGTTCTGAAAGTCCTTTGGGTAAGCAGGGTGCAGTGCCCAGATCCTTTCTGTTGCATGGGGTAGAGGGGAGGAGATCTCAAGTTCCCCAGGCCCCTGTGTGCTGTGACACAAAAGACCTTGGTCCTGCTCCCAGCTCTGACATGGCCTGGCCAGGTGCCCTTGCCAAGTCACTTAATCACTGTGTCCTCCCTCCTCCTCCTGCCAAGGGGATGTCCCCAGCTAGCACTTGCAGAGTTGCTTGCAGTCAAGGCCTCAGGCCCATCATGACTTTCATGCCCTGAATCCAGCAGTAGGGTGTGCTGGGTGCAGGGCTCTGCCTACAGGGATATTAACTGGTGCATTGATGAATCCTACAGGGGTGGCTGCCAGTCGCAGTGTGCTTCCATGTCTTGTTGCACTTTGTGCCCATCCCCAAAGGTGGAGGCAGCTTCTGCGCATTGGAAAGCCACTGCTGGGACTTGCCTTCTCTCTTCCTCAACTCCAGGCTCCTGACTGCAGCCTCCTCACCCATTGGCACCCTGCAGCAGTCAGGAACTGGTGCTTACCAGCAGGGGGCGCAATACTCAGGGACTATGTGCTCCCCCCATCTTCCAGCGGGATCCATTGCCAAACTCCCTGCCTCTGAGCCAGTCCAGGAGCAAGGGAAGCCCTGGTGTGCCCTGGCAGACACATTCCTTGAAGGGGCTGGTTGCAGGGTGGGAGGGTTCGAGGGCCAGACCCCCTCCATGTCTGGGGTTGTACAGCACCCTTATTGTGCCCAGGCAGAGGGCCTTGGCTACCCCCATGTGGGCGTCTCCCAGCCCAGTGGTAGCATCAAGGGCTTGGATAGGGGCCTCTGGTCCCAGCCCTTTCTGTACTTCTGCTAAAACTTCCAGCTATCAGCTCCCCTCCCCCCATGTCTGCAACGGTGCTCAATAAAATGGTTTAATCATAATGGATGAGACAAGCATGGTACTTTCAGGCTGCCTTGAGGTTCCCTCCACTCCTGCCTCTGCCTGGGACAGTGGTGCTCAACCTATCTGGCCCTGCAGGCTGGATAAGTAGCATGAGACCTCACCCTTGTGGGAACCTGAATGCCTGATCCAGCCGCAGTGCAACCCCAGGTCCTAGCATATGAGGCCATGTCATGTGGACTGCCACCTGCCCTCTAGGCAAATGTCTCAACTTGGGAGCCTCATGCACCACGACACAGCTCTGGGGGCTGGATCTGGCCTATAGTGGGCTGGAGGTTCAGCACCGCTGACTTAATGTCATCAGCCTCTCAGCTGCTTGCCCCGGATGGTCTTTATGCATGGCTGCAACTCAAGACTTGCTGTGGGCCATTGGGCTTCTCTGGGCTAGTGCCTCATCTTCTGCAGTGCTAGAGTAGACCAAACGGAGATAACCGTGGCAGGGCCTGGGGCAAATCAGCCTGTGTGGGACCCAGACAGGGCAGTGTGGGGTGGGGGGTTGGTGAGCGACAGGATGTGAAGCCGGCCTGGCTTTGTGGGGCCCCCCAAGTTCAGGGCCTAGGGCCGTGTCCCTCCCCCACTGGGACAGCCCTAGGTCCAAAGGTGGTGCGCCTGTACCCCTGCATGTATTGGGGCATGAGATCCTGGCTCTTCTAATGCCCTGTGCTGGTGCTTTGGTGTGCAATGCTGGACCTGAAACCGAGGCCTTTTCTCTGCCCTGGTCTTTGGGAGCAGTGTGTATGCTGGAGCATCAGCCCTCCCAGTGCACCAGCCAGCAAGGCTGCAGAAGCATCAGTTCTGTGGCTGACATGCAGGTGCTTCAAGGCAACACTTATATACAGAAGTAGAGGCACAAAGAGCTGCCTTTTAGGACCAGGGTTGGCAAAAACTTGGCCACGTGCTCACAGGTGCTGTGCATGCCATGTCATCAGCCAGGCTGCACACAGGTGCCATGGGGAAGAGCTTTGGCCTGGTAGCCCACAGCCCAGGGCACTGCTCCAGGAAGCTCTCTGCCCTGCTGCCTGCAGTAGAGGTTTTGCCAAGTGATGTGCTAGAGGGTAGCAGAGGGCAGCAATGGAGCCTGGCTGGGGGTGGCAGGGCAGCAGCACAGGGCATTAAGCCAGGCTGTGGAGTCCAGCTGAACGTGAGTCCTGAAGGCTTTTTCACCAGCACACAGCAGCCTCTCCCTGTGCTTATCCTCCCCTGGGTACTTGGCAGAAGGGTGTACAGGCTAAAGCTGAAAGACCTGTAAGGGCAGCCTTTGGCAGGACACTACTGGGACTGCAGTTTTAGCCCAGGGGGCTAAATTAATTGCTTAATTGCTCCTGGAGCTCTGGCCTGCACTGATCCATTACACAGCTCAGCCTTATGGGCCAGCTGTGCTTGCAGGATTGTCTCGCCAGATGGCACTGAAAGCCCTGGGGCTGGTAGACCTGAGCCTCCAGTAAGTGGGACAGGCTGAAAGGAAGGAGACTGGCCGGGAGCCTGTGGTGTGGGGGTGTGAGGAGCCTGTCTTGGGATGTCTGTGAGCTCCGTGGTTCCCCTCGTGCCCAGCAGCTCTGCGCAGGCAGTGGTGCTGGAGCAGTTGTGGGGTGTGGGCTTGTGCTGCAAACAAATATAGGACCTGCCTGGCCCCAGTTGCAAAGCTGCAGTCTTGGTAAGTGGACAGAGGGGCTGTTCTACCCACCAGCCTTGGGACCTGCCTGGCTGGGCCCATAGGCAGTCTCCTATAACCGTCTCAGCCCCTCTGCAAAGGGCTGTAAGTAGAGCCTAAAAAGGGGGTTCTACATAGAGGTGAGAGAAGTCTCCTCTTGCACTGCACAATGGCTCTGCTTCCCCTTCTCTTGGAGGGGGAAAGCCCTGGGGGTGAGATGAAAGGCAGGCAAGTATGGAGGAATCATCAGCCTTTGAGGTACAAACAAATGGAGGCCCAGGCTGGCATGGTCCGGGGGGTAGTGAGTGAGGGGAGAAGCACACAGACCCAGATGAGCAGGGGCAGTTTGTTAGTGCTCCCCTGCCTTGCTGACAGCTTGTGGAGGCTGTGAATTACTGCTGGAATGGGAAACGAGCCAGAGGAACCCCTGTGGCTACCAGATCAGCTAGGGAAGGTGAAGGAGGAGAAGAGCTCAGGAGTGTAGGGTAGGCCACCCAACAGGAGGGTGGGATGGACAGTAGTGTAGCATGAGACCCAACCCCGCTGAGCTATATACATGTGTACCAGATAGTGATAGAGGTCCAGAGAAGTGACTTGCCCATGGTCACCCAGGAGGTCAGTGGCAGAGCCAGGAATGGATCCCCGCTCTCCTGGGTTGCAGCCCGGTGCTCTGCCCACTAGAACACACAGCCTTCACAGTCGGCACTTTGTCCACAGTAGGAGAGCTGGCACCTTGCCCCTCGGGCCTACAGGCTCTGTTTGTTGCTTGAGCTTGAGCTTGAGCTTGAGCTTGAGCTTGGCATGGTGGGGGGTGTGGAAGCAAGCACATATGTTAGGAGACAGATGTCATGCTGTTTGTATATACAAGCCAGGCAGGCCTATGTTCCAGCATATCTTGCAAATAGGCAAGGCCAGGGCACCTGGCTTGGGGCACCCATGTCCTCTGAGCACTTTGGGGTGGAGCTGAGTCCCCACAGCTCTAGGAAGGCTTTAATTACAGAGACTCCCCTGAGAGACCACAAGTGCCGCCTCCTACCCCATAGCACCACTGCTTCCAGGGGCCATCTGGACAGGTTGCAAGTCTGTGTTGTCTGCACCAGTGCCATGCTTGTGGGGCAGGAGCAGAATGTGGAAGGAACTGCCTTGGCTTTGCTTTCCTCTCTCCTTCCCCTCCACTCTTAGGCATTTAAAGGCAGCTTTAAACCTGCATCCCAGCACAAGAGCTGAGACCCCAGCCCAGAGCCCTAGAGCTGCAGGGTATAGGACCAGGGGTGTGTCTGTGCTGCTTCCCAACCCACCCTCCCATGTGTGACATCCCGACTCCCTCAGCGCCCAGGATCTTGGCCAAGTCTGTGGGTGCCTATGGGTTACCTCAAGCTTACTCTGCCAGAGCAAGTGTACAGGGAGGGCAGGCAGCATGCTCTGCTGCCAGCTGCCTCTCACCGAGCATCTTTGCGGATGGAAGCTGTCACTGCACTGGGAGGGAGGCACCTCTCAGCTGTCCAGCACTCGGGCACTTTCAGGAAGACAGGTCAAACCCACGCTGAGACTTCCATCAGCCACCAGGCAAGTATCTGTGTTTCTGGAGGATTCAGGCATGAATGTCCCTCAGAGCTACGTCTGTGTGGTGCAAGGGAGAAGGTCTCCGAGGGTGGACAGTCACTGGAAGGACAGGGTCTTTTGACTTGGCACATGAATCTCCTGAACACCTTGGTGGGGGAGCAGGGCAGCTGCAGGGACTATGGGGACTGCTTGCTCCAAGAGGAAAGGAGGGGAGTTGGGATAATGCTAAGTGATAGGCCCTTCCCTGTGTCCCGGCCCCTGTTCCATACCTCAGCTGCAGGACAGCCCTCACACTGTGTCCTGTGCTTGTCTCTGGCAGGGGTCAGGGTCAAGGGTGGGGTGATCAGTCAGGTGTGTGTAACAGCCAAGCCCTGCAGTTAGCCAGGGGGAGTTCAAGGTGAGGCAGGTTGTTGGAGGGTGTTGGAAAAAGGGTGTGGGGCAGGCAGGTGCCCAAGAACGGGTCCTGAGCTGTGCAGTGTGAGACTGAGCTTCAGTTAGCTCTTGCATTTGCCAGGGGGCCCTGTACTGTCAGTGTGGAGTGTCCTGCTGAGCCTAGGGAAGGATGTGGTTGATGAAGAAGGCTGCTTTTGCATGGTTGCATCCCTTCCTTTAGGAAGGTGAAAGCCTAGTGCAAGTTTGGCTGTTGGGCTGACAGAGAAGAGGAGGTGGCCTGTCCCCAGCTGCAGAGAGGAGAGACTGAGGCACAGCTGCTATAGAAGTAAGGCTCTCACCCTGGGGTGGGAGGATGGGGAGAGGGTGGAGCTGAGAAGGCAGCCTCCAAAACTGGCTCATGCTTCCTACCAGCTATCTGAGCACTGGGAAGCTTGAACTTTAGGCTCCTGAGAGCCCTTGACATTATTAAAAAAGGCAGAGGGGGAGTTACGATGGGGATGAAACAGCATGAGCTATTCATTGCCTCTTCATTGCGCTAACAGAGATGCAGCTAAGCTGCCTGCCCTGTGACTCAGGCTAAGAGCATGCTGTGTCTGCTGGCCTTGATCTTGACAGTCCAACTGCTGCTATTGACTAATGACGCTTCTGTAATATGGAACACAATGTTGTATCCTTGGGGATGCCTGCCTGCCTGTCTGGGACGTGGGGGATGAGAGCAAGCTGGAATCCAGAGTTGAAACTGCCTTCTGCCCCTGTCTGGGGGGGCACGTGCTGTGGGCACGTTGCCATCTCACAGGTGTAGTAAGAGGGCTGCTCTCAGGCTGCCCTCTGGTTTTATTAGAGACTTCCTGTCCTTTTGGGGAAAGAACCTGCAGTAACTTCTGGCTTTGGTTGGGAGCTGGCATGAGACAAGCCTGACTCCTGTGTCTGTGGGTACCTTTAATAGGATCTGGGTAAATCATCATAGAATCATAGATTCATAGAAGTCAGGTCA